CCGTCGCCCCCACCCCCCGGCGTCCGCGCCGGTGGAGGAGGAGGAGAGGCCCGGGAACGGGACGCGGGTTCGATCCCCGGGGGACTGCAGAAAACTGACGGCCTTGCCAACCGTCAGGTGAAACGTCTCGTGCAGGTTCGGATAGGCGCGCTCGAGGGAGAACTTCGGTAAGTGCCGGGGAACCCGACCGAGGCCGTACTTCCGACCCAGAGGCATCTTGGTGGAAATACTCCTCTCCCGGAGCACGGATGTGGGCTTCTCGAAGGCGCCCCATAAGGAAGAACCCTTTTGCGGGCTTGCGGCATGGTCTCCATTATATAGGTAATGCCAGGGTAGAAAGGGCAAATTCTGCGTTAGATTCGAGGCACTTGAGGGCATTGTGAGTGGAATTCTGTTAGCGAAAGACGATTTGGTGACACCGTCATGAATAGCATTCCCTACACACATGGGAAGTGAACCCTTCAGCTTTTCCAAGGCCAGTCTCTGGATCACCACACGGAACTTAGCGATGTTCGATTGACCATTTGACATAGGAAAAGAAACACTAGCTTACTAATACTATGAAAATATTTTAGTTTTTTTGATACTCCCTTAGTTTATTATTTTAAGTGAACAAAATTGTTATCCAGCGCACACATATAAGCACGGTTTCTATATTGCCTTTGGAGGAGGAGAGGAGGGGGGGGGAGGATAATGGCATTATCGTTTGGGTTTACTTTAGACCCGTCCATGGAAAGAACACATTTTAAAACAGAGAGAAAAGAAGGTGTTCCACTGACCCTATCACATGATTTAGTTTTGTAGATAATCGAAGGAATACACAAACGCAAACTGCATGCTGCAAAGGCAAACAAACTTCACCCCTTGCATCAACTTTAGGCATCACGATACTGTTTGGAGCGAAACTTTCGCTTCAAGAAAGATCCGTTGTCCTCCTCCAACGCTCTTCGCGTGCGGCGCTCGGCCTCTTCATGGCGCTGCCGTTCATGAAGCATATCCTCCTCCTCTGTTTGTGGGGACCACTTCAAGGGCCACCAGTCGGGGAAATTAACCCAGTCGTAAACCTCTGGTGACATATTTTGAATAAATGTGAAAGCATCCAGACGCGTATCATCATCACTTCGAGATAGCAGTAGTGCCTCCCGTCGTGCCTTGCTAGACTCCTCGATGGGTCGATTATCGAAGAGATACGAGCGATACATGGGTTGCAGCTCTGGCGATAACCTGTGCACCGGGACCTGGTGGAGCTGCTGCTCGGACAAAAAGATATTTAGTCGTCTTCGGTGGTAGTACCTCATCCCGTAGCATCCCAAGGCATACAAGACACCTAGCATGGAACCAGTGAACACACCTTGCCCAAGCGACCCCATCTGAGATGCAGTCATCATTATGACGGAGCCACTGACGGCTGACAAAATCGGATAGTACAACGTATCTTGATAATTATTTCGTACGACTAGAATGTGATGAAACGCTGAGGTCAGCAACCCAACAGCCGCAAAGGAGGAAGTGTAACGCCACATGATCCGATATCGACCAACATACCGCCCCTCCACGCGAGATTGACGAAACCCTACAAGGAACCCTACTATAGAACCGTAACACGCAGTAGGAACCACATTCTGGACCATCCCTCGTCTCCAGCGCCACTGCAAGTAGTTATCTATCTCCACGGAGTATGGATTCGGTGGTAGGTCTCCACGCAGAGTATCGTAAATACACTGCTCAGAGGGATCCGGCGTGGTTTGAAATCGATCATCGTTTCCAGTACGAAAAGGCCATAATGACATTCTATTTTTTTTGAACAGGATAAATCGATTTGACTGTCACTCTCTAAAAGGGAAGAAACCTTGCTCCCCGTTAATTAATTCTGGAATATATATATAAACATGTATATATATATATATATATATATAGATAGATAGATAGATAGAATAAATACTACAAGTAGTAAAGGT